AAGTAGAAGTAGCTTTACTTCAGATGGATACATTCCATAATGTAGTTGTCAGTACTCCCATTAACAAGCAATGGACTTCAACATGTGCTCAGGATCAATCTAAGAAAATTTTCTTTGACAAGACAAATACAAGTCTTTTTTTCTCCTAGAATCTTATTTAACTCATTATTTTAATGCAAACCACTCTCATCATTTATCTTTTATGGCAAAATATCTTTGGTATTGAAATCAAATTTTTAAAGGTCTTTCAAAAATAAAAAATAGTTACTATCATAGTATTATTTTAGTCTTTTCAAAGTCAATTAAGAGTGTCAATCTGTTGAAGGAATATAAACTCAAAGTCATTATTCTTGGATATATTCATTTTTTTCTCAATAGCTTGGTCTAATCACTTTCTATTTCTATGTCATGTAAGTTATAGGATTTCCAGATCTCTTGAGGGAATCATAGTTCTCAATGATCCCTTTGTTTCTCAATTTTAAAAATAAGTTCCCAACTCCTACAGAATAAATTAGCTCTGTTTCTCCTCCACTAACCGATCTCATCTTCTCAAAATGAGGCACAAATTCCTTCATCAAAACTAATCTGGTACTTATATATGCCCTCTAAGATGATTTCAATAGTCCATTGTGTTTTTATATACACAATTCATTTATTTAAACCTTAGTTATTATTAAGGATATGTCCATATGGGTAATCTATGTGCATTTTAAAATTAATCACTTCTATTTCGGTTTGCAGTGTTCTTAGCTCTGCCTCTGAGACTCTCATCAGACTGGGAGAGACCCATGGCAGAGACCACAGGCGTGCTTCAAGGCCAGCTTCTAACTCAAATATCTGATAGCAGTGAGGGCACCTGTTTTTCAAGTAGAAAATAAAGCCATACAATGTGATGAGCTAATAGAAAGTTGTTTATTGTTTGGGGTTTTTTGTTGTTGTTGTTGTTGTTTTTGCCTTCATATATATGGAGAACATTCTTGGTTTACAAAAATTTTTGTTGTGATTGTTCATAACAACCATGCAGTGTATTTATAGTTTAAGAAAACGATTATGAAAGCAAAGGAAAGATTACGCAGTCCTGGGAGTCACAGGATTTCCATCCTGGTGTGTCAGGAGCTTCCCTCATCATTCCACTACATTTCCTCTCTATTATTAATAGAAATATCCTCAACAGCGTCTGAACTGGCTGGCCCAACCCTAGATACAGTGTTAGGTTTTGATGGTGACGTTAAAGAGTTAGGGTGCTCTGGAAGAAGAGAATTTGTTTAGGGCTCAGGTTTGGGACTAATTGCCAGGATATTCACTTGTGTGAATCTCTTAGAAATTGAAAGTGTGCTGAACAAAATAGCTGAAATTAACATCATTGACAAAATCATTATTAACATATTTCTAAGAAAGACAGGGAAAAAAGATTTCCAAACACCTACTATGTGTTGAGACTTGGTTGCGTAAAGCATCCAGTGCAAGGGCATAGAAGAAGCTAGAGAGGCAGGGTGTTACCAAGGATAACACTCAATCATTCAGATGGCGACAACCACCAAGGGAGAGCCTGCCGTTTGTTACTCACATGTAATCACCATCTATATTAAGTATATTACATGCTTCGTGATTGCATATTTTTATAGGAGAAAAATTATCACTACCCCTGAGGACTAAGTCTATGATAAGTCACTTTCAGTTTTGGTTTCTTGAGTTGTCACTGAAATGTGCTTCAAATCCCTGAATCATAATCATTTTCAAACATTTACAGCCTTCAGGTTTCGACAAAGAATTCATGCCCGCCCGTTATATAAATTGTAGCTTGTAACTGCAAATCCATTTCTTTACCTTGAGTAGGGTAAGGCTGTGTTTAGGGCTCATGTGAGCTGAGAGGAGAGAGGAGATCGCACAGGCTAGCACCCTGGAGAGAAGTATCTCTGCGACACTGCGGCTGGGCTGCTGCACAGAGATACGTGGCCGAGTCTCCCAGCTCTGCCTGCTGGATCCTGGGAGTGGTACTGATAGAATATTCCAAAAATATTGAAAATGAATATAAGGGATATTGATCATTAGAGTGAAATAATGCCAATATATTCTTCAGGGATTGGGGGTTGTGGGTGGGTAAACTCACAACTAATGGACACGGTGACTTTGTAGGGGGGAAGGGCACATCTCAAATCATGGTTTGGGTGTGGCAAAGTCATAATATGTAACCAAAATGTTTATACCCCCATAATATCCTGAAATAAATAAAT